TGGAGCTCCCTGTGGGGCCACGCAGGGGTGCACTTGGTGGGGAAAACGCATGCGGACACCGCCACTGGGGTTTCCGATGGGACTCCCTATGGGCCATGAAGCGTTGTACTGGGTGCGGGGAACGCATGCGCACACCGCCACTGGGGCATTCGGTGGACCTCCCTATGATGCCACGAAACGGTGTACTGGGTGGGGGAAACGCATGCGGGTACAGCCGTTAGGGCCTTCGGAGGGGCTCCCTATGGGGCCACGAAGCGCTGTACTGGGTGGGGGAAGCGCATGCGGACACCGCCACTGGGGTTTTCGGTGGAACTCCCTATGGGGCCACGAAGCGTGTGAAGAGTGTGCCAAAGTGGAGGGGGGGCGGCATGCGAATCATGTCACTCGGGCCTGCGGCCTTCGGTGGAGCTCCCTATGGGTCCACGAAGCGGTGTACTGTGTGTGGAAAACGCATGCGGACACCGCCACTGGGGTTACCGGTGGGACTACCGATGGGCCACGAAACGCTGCACTGGGTGGGGGAAAGGCATGCGGACACCGCCACTGGGGCATTCGGTGGACCTCCCTACGATGCCACGAAACGGTGTCCTGGGTGGGGGAAACGCATGCGGACACTGCCACTGGGGTTTTCGGTGTTTTTCCCTATGAGGCCACGAAGCGCTGTCCTGGGTGGGGGACACGCGTGCGAAGCATGCCACTGGGGCCTTCGGTGGAGCTCCCTATAGGGCCACGAAGCGTGTGAGAGTGTGCCAAAGTGGAGGGGGGGCGGCATGCGAAGCATGCCACTGGGGCCTTCGGTGGAGCTCCCTATGCAGCCACGAAACGTATGAGGGGTGCCAAAGTGGAGGGGGGCGGCATGCGAAACATGCCACTGGGGCCTCCGGTGGAGCTCCAGGGGTGTGCCAAACTGGAGGGGGGCGGCATGCGAAGCATGCCACTGGGGCCTTCGGTAGAGCTCTCTATGGGGCCACGAAACGTGTGATGGTGTGTGCCAAAATGAAGGGGGGGGGCATGCGAAGCATGCCACTGGGGCCTTCGGTGGAGCTCCCTATGGGGCCACGAAGCGTGTGAGGGTGTGCCAAAATGAGCCAAAATTGAAAGGGGGCGGCATGCGAACCATGCCACTGGGGCCTTCGGTGGAGGTCTCTGTAGGGCCACGATACGTGTGATGGGTGTGCCAAAGTGAGGGGGGTGATGGGAGGAGGGAGGAGGGGGAGGAGGAGGAGGAGAGGAGGGGAGGAGAAGCGGGGGCCGTCTCTTCAAAACGAGGACCCAACTCAACACAAAAAGGTGGTTGGGAATAAGACGGTCATTTCGCACAATGCCGCTCCGATCCCGGCGACGTGCACGTGCTTCGGACGGAGAGGGATAGCGCGCGCACGGTCAGAGCCTGGGGGCGCGCCACACACCTTGAACCCACTACGCATGCAGCGCGAGTGCGCTCAGTTTCTGCTGACTGCCGTGCCTTGAGCACTGTGCAGCGGGCAGGCCGATGCGCCCGCCCTCCTGGACGAAAGTGTGCGTGCGCTGCTGTGCGCTGCTGCAGCCCGTGCACCCTCCCCATTTGCATGTCGGCGTCGTGGAATTTTGGGATTGGGACGGAGAAGCGAATGGAGAGCAAGAGTAGCATATGAATATGATTGTACATATTAAGGTACTTGTGTATAAGAGAGAGAGAGAGAGAGAGAGAGAGAGAGAGAAGGCGAACGAGAGAAGGATAAGGAGAGAGAGAGAGAGAATTATGTTTGGTAAGAGATAGAAGAAGATGAAAGAGAGAGAGAGAGAGAGACTACGGAGGAACCCCACATACTTATATTATGTCAGGAGTGATGATAGCTGAAGTGGAACGTGAGAGAATGATGCTGGTGTCCGTTGCCCCGCCGATACCGTTGGTGACGCCGGTCAAGCCATGGGAGAATGACACGCCGTGCGAACAACAGCCTGAGCCATGGCGACCACGGAAGAGAGCGGGGCTGCAGGTAGGCAGGCGGACGGCGCACGAATCTCGACGCGATGGGCAGGCGGACGGCGCACGCCGCGGTGAGGGACCACCCCTTGCGCATCCCCTATGGTGTCCAGAAAGCGCCACGCCTGCTGTGCATGGACATGCATGGACGATTGGGGCGTATAGACACCGCGGTGAGGGACCACCCCCTGCGCATCCCCCATGGTGTCCAGAAAGTGCCACGCCTGCTTTGCATGGGCGACTAAGGCGTATAGACACCGCGGTGAGAGACCACCTCATGCGCATCCCATATGGTGCCGAGAAGGTGCCACGCCTGCTGTGCATGGGCGACTAGGGCGTATACACACTGCGGTGAGAGACCACCCCCTGCGCACCCTTATGGCGGCGAGAAAGTGCCACGCCTGCTGTGCCTGGACGGCTGGGGCGTATAGAGACCGCGGTGAAAGACCACCTTAGCGACCGCACCCCCAGCACACCTCCTTGTGGCATCGAGAATGTGTCACGCCTGCCACGCTTTGCTAGCCCGAAACAGATAGCAGCCGCACCCCCAAGGCACCCACTGCGACGTCATGAAAATGCCGCGCCTGCCATACTTTGCGAGCCCGAAACAGATAGCTACCGCACCGCGTAAGGCACCCCCGTGTGGAGCGGATGAAACGACACGCCTGCCACGCTCTGCGAGCCCGAAACGGATAGCGAGCGCACCCCGATGACCCTCCCCTTTAACGTCGATAAACTGCCACGCCTGCCACACCTGGCGAGCCCGAAACGGATAGCGTCCGCACCCCTAGCGCACCCCCTCTATGGCATCGAGAAAGTACCAGACCTGCCACGCTTTACGAGCCCGACACGGATAGCGACCGCACCCCCAGCGCACACCCTTGTGGCATCGAGAAAGTGCCGCACCTGCCACGCGTGTCCAACCCGAAACGTATAGCGACCGCACCCCCGTGACATCCCCTGCAACGTCGACAAACTGCCACGCCTGCCACACTCGGCGAGCCCGAAACAGATAACAACCGCACCCCGTAAGGCACCCCCTGTGGCGTCAACGAAGTACCGCGCCAACCATGCTTTGCGAGCCCGAAACGGATAGCGAGCGCACCCCCATGGCACGCCCTGTAACGCCGATAAACTGCCACGCCTGCCACACTTGGCGAGCCCGAAACGGATAGCGTCCGCACCCCCAACGCACCCCCTTTCATGGCATCGAAAACCTCCCTCACCTGCCACGCTTTGCGAGCCCGGCACGGATAGCGACCGCACCCCCTGCGCCCGTTGTGGCGTCGAGAAAGTGCCACGCCTGCCACGCTTTGCGAGCCCGAAACGGATAGCGACCGCACCCCATGGTACCCCCTGTAACGTCGATCAACTGCCACGCCCGCTGTGCCCTGCGAGCCTGCAACGCATAGAGACCGCACCCCCAGCGCTCCCCCTTGCGGTGTCCAGAAATGGCCACGCCTGCCGTGCCCTGCGAGCCGTGCCCTGCGAGCCTGCGGTGCCCAGTATGTGGCGCATACGTCGTGGGTGCGTGATGCAGTGAACACGCAAGGCGTACACTGGCGTTGTTCGCGTGTGTGTGTGTGTGTGTGCAAATGTGTGCATGCGTGCGGCCGCATGTAGACGCGTGACTCGTGTGCGTGCCGTGCATGTGTTGCGCGTGGACGAGGCGAGACAGGAACAGGAGGTGAGGAGGGAAGAGGAAGGGAGGTGAGTGTGTAATGGAGACGCGGGTGCGCCGAGGGTGGGAAGAAAACAAGAACCCCACTAAACATGTGGGGAAATATGAAGAAATAATAAACATAAAGAAAGAGAGAGAGAGAGAGAGAGAGAGAGTCATACATACATACATACATACATACATACATACATACATACATACATACATACATACATACATACATACATATACATACATACATACATACATACATACATACATACATACATACATACATACATACATACATACATACATACATGCATGCATGCATGCATGCATGCATGCATACATACATTCATACATACATACACACACACATACATACATACATACATACATACATACATACATACATACATACATACATACATACATACATACATACATACATACATACACACACAGACGTACATACATACATACATACATATATACATACATACATACATACATACATACATACATACATACATACATATGTATAGAGAGAGAGAGAGCGAGAGAGAGAGAAGCAGTCAAACAATGGGGAAAGGCGACCATCCCAAGCAAGCCCCCGCCCCTCCCCCTGCCCCTCTGGCTCCCTCCGCCGCCCCCGAACGCCGCCTCCTCCCCTCTTCTGCCTGGCCCTCGTCCCTTCTGGTCCTGCGGTTGGGCTCTGGCGCCGGTGCCGCCGCTCTCCCAGAGCACCTCCCCCTTGCAGCCCTGCCACTGCTAAGGCTGCTGCCTTCCCGGGATCCTCAGACACAGCATCCCGCTGATCCGCCCGTGCACGCCCGTCCGCCCGCGAGTTCCTGGGCATCCCGCTCAACGTGGCCTGGCGGCCTGGCCCCAAGAATCCCCGGAAGTCCCGTCCCGCGTCCCCGACGAGCAACGGCAGACAGCAGCTGCAGACAGCAACGACAGACACGAGCACGACATGCGAAGCCGAGAGACACATGCAGTTATCAGTAGTGGTGAAACGAAGCATTCGAAAACGGCAGCCATTAAAGAAACATGCAAAAACAGTACAGGAAAAAGGCACGCAGAAGCACACACATATACACATATATATAGAGAGAGAGAGAGAACAATAAAACAATGACAATAAAAATGAAGACAATCATGGCGCAAATGAGATACCGAATGAGTTGCACGAAACGGCATGCATGAAATACATATTCGAGCATGTCGACAATACTAGAACCGTTGCCGGTTCCAAATTTCGTGTGGGCCAAGCGACGTGCCGCTTTCCTCGGGGCCGAGTCCCGCTACTTGCTGCCACCTGGGTCTTAAAGGCGATTTACGTGAGGCGCTGAAGGATCCCCTATCTGTCGGACCTCTTGGGGCAATCTTTTTTGTTTTCTTTTCCTCTTGAATGTAGAAGTGATGCTTGTCTTCTCTCCATATGTCTCATTTCGCCCAAGTTGGCGCAAGGCGGCACCAGAACAGTCCGTTGGGCTGCAGCACCCTTCTTCGAGGACTGCGTGCTCACAGTTCGAGATTGATCCGCCCCAGCGCGGCGAGCGCCTCGCGGCCGGCTTCGCCGAACGTGTTGCGCTGAATGCTCAGCGTCATCACCTGCGGCGCCACTCTGGACGACAGCGCCTCCGCCAAAGCAATCGCACCCGCGTCCCCGATCCTGTTATCCCTCATCTGCAGCTGCTTCAGCTGCGGCGCCGCCCCAGACGAGAGTGCCTCCGCCACGGCGCTCGCACCCGCGTCCTCGATGCCGTTTTGGTTCATGATCAGCTCCCTCAGCAGCGGCGCCGCCCCAGAGGACAGCGCCTCCGCCAGGGCGCTGGCGCCCGCGTCCCCGATGTCGTTCTGGTTCACGTTCAGCACCTCCAGCTGCGCCGCCCCGGCCGGCAGCGCGGCCGCCAGGGCGCTCATGCCCGCGGCGCCGATGCCCGTGTTCCACATCTCCAGTTTCTTCAGCAGCGGCGCGGCACCGCAGGCCAGCACCCTGGCGAGCGCCTGCGCGTCGGCGACGTCCCACTGGAGGGTGTTGTAGTGCAGCTCCGCGGCCTCGGCGAAGCGGGCGACGAAGGCTGCCATGTAGATGGCCGCGACCCTGGAGCAATCGGCCTTCTTGCTGGTGAAGGACTTGTGCTCCAGCGACGCCGCGAAGTCTTCTGGAAGCATCGGCCCAGCCCTGTCAGCCTTTGCAGCTTGATTCCAGCTTGTCAAAGCTTGTGGCTTACTTGGGAGCCCGCCAGTAGTAGCAGCAGCAAGCTTGTCCTGATCTAGCACCTCGATGGATTCGTTCTCTGGAGCAGCGGTGATCTTGCCGATATCCAGAACAAACATCGAAGCCTTCGTGAGCCCCGCGACGGACGACTCGCAGTGGCACCATCCCCGCTGGTAGTAGTCGGCCTTGTTCGGCGTGCAGTCCTGCGGGAAGGTGAAGCCGTCTGGATAGCCCTCGGGCAGCCTGGAAACCTTGAAAATCATAGTCCCAGGGTGGCTGTACAGCTCGGCCAACGACTCCAGGGCCAGGTCGAAGAGGCGCTGCTCCGAGCCCGTGCGCCCGATCCCGGCCCCCTTCTGGTGAAGCGACATGAAGTCGATGAAGACGCCCAGCAGCTCGATGTCCTGCAATTTGACATTGAAGTCATTCATGTAGGGGAATTGATTCAAGAGGGAGGCCAGGGCGTACGCAAGGAGAGTCAGGGTGTCGCCACGCGGGTCGGGGTGGTCAGGCTGCAGCCACGGGTAGCTCACGGCCAGGACCGGCAGCGCACCCTTGCCGTACACGACCGGGCAGCGTGCCTGCTGGAGGTCTGCGAGGCTCACGAAGGCGCGGGCAGGGAGGTCCTGCCTGCGCCGCATGCAGCCACACTCCTTCGTCCTCACCCACCATTTCTGGGGAACCTTGCGTGCTGGATAATCGCGGCGCATGCCGTCCACTCGCTCGAAGCCACCCAGCTCCAGGAGGTAGCGCGCATCCACCAGGCGCATGGCGCTGTGGCGCTCGGCGGGAAGGACCCTCAGGACCGGCTCGAGGCTCGTGCCTTTGAACTTCAGCCAATAGTGGTTTATTTGGCTGGCGGACAGGTTCGACTCCTCCTCCAGGCTCTCCACCGTGGCGTCCTGGCGCGCATGGGCAACGTCCGCGGGCGGCCCTCCCCCCGGGCCCGTCGCCAGGGAGGTGGCCGCACTTCCGCTGGAAGTCGTGCAGCCCAACCGCTCGCAGTGGGGCGCAAGGGGCATTCCAGTTCAAGCCAGCTGAAAGATCTTGAGCAAGAATGGCTTCAGCTTGAGCCAAAATGGCTACGGGGACCTCTTGGGGCAATCTTGGGCTGTCTCGGAGGCCTCGTGGGGACCTCTCGGGGGTATCCAGTGGGGCCAGTTGGGCCGTCTGAGGCCGTCTCGGGGTATCCTGGGGCCCGCTTGGACATCTCTTGGGCCGTCCTTGTGCCACCCTGGAACTCTGGTAGGCCGTCTGGGACCTCTGTCAACGCGCTCTGGGACTCTCTTGGCGGACGCTTGTGGCCCTCTCGGGCTGTTGCGAACAGCTCTCGCGCTCCCCGTGGGCTTCCTTGCGCCCCCTCTGGGCCCTCTGGAAATCATTTCGGACAGAAAAGCAGAAGACGCGCAACAACACATTCACATTGCTGCAATTCTACGGCGCGACTCTGGGGCCTCTCCTTGCGCGTCTTGGCGGCCCTCTTGGGGCCGTCAGTGAGCCTCTTGGGACCTCTTGGCCGATTTGGGATCTCGTCGGGGAGCACTCGCACGGCATCTTGAGAGCATCCTGGAGCCATCTGGGGCCGTCGGGGCATCCTCTTGGGTCCTCCTGGGTGCCTCCTGGGCCCGAGAGAGGCGGGACTACACTTCGTGCTGGCGCTGGGGTCCGACGCTCTCGAGCCAGGACTACACATCGCACTCCGACTCGGGACAGTGTGCAATGGGGGGGGGAGGGTCGCCGGGGGCAGGGCACTCGAGCACGAACACGGCTTTGCAGTGCACGGGTCCGAGCACCAGCATGGCTTTACGATGCAGCTGGATGTTTCGTATGACCAGCGGCACATCCGAGCAGCACACAGCAACTGCATACAAAGATTCAGTGCGAACCTCGATTGCTCTAGCATCTCTATCTCTCTCTTCAATATGTCATTGATTCTTCTCTTGCTATCTCTGAATGTCTGTTACTACTCTGGTTACTTGACCTATCCGCTCAACTCGCTCTTACTTTCCACCCTCTCTGCAAAACTCTGCTCGACTGCACTCTAAATTATGCACTCGAATCTGTACGATATGCTCTCTCATTCTGGCCGTGGCCGCAAGAGCCCAAGTACTCGAGCCTCACAGAAGCGGGCACCACGGAACTGAAACGGGAACCGAAAAACCCAACCACCCATTGAAATCGGCCCGAAACCGGCCGCCCACCGAAATCGTCCCTGCACTGTTGCCGAACCTGGAACCGGGGGCCCGAGAACCCGCCTGCCAAGCGAACTCGGCCCAGTACTGTCGCCAATTCTTTCTATGTCCGCGAGGACCCCGTCAATGGAAGCACTATGGGAAATGTCGGCGAGGACCGCTTCATAATATACAGCAGACGAAGATAACACAAAAGCTGTTGGGCCGCACGGAACCAAAACCAAACACAGACATAAACAAATACAGAGATAAGGGGCATACAACAGCGACGTGCGAAAGCATGTACACATAACAAACACGAAAAGCGGATGCAAATGGCAAGCACAACAAAATACACATGAAGAGCATGTGCTGCCAATACGTGGCGTTGATCACTTACAGCAGAAAGCCGTTCTACGGATCCAAATGTTGCCTTCGTATGGGGCATCTGAACAGTTTCGGGGGTCCTCCTAGCAACTGGCTTGAGACTAGGCGGAGGAAGCATCTGAGCAAGGCCGTCCAAGCACTGACGCGCACTCCTGCCTGGGCGTGGCCGCGGACGCGACAAGGGTAGGGCAGCCTCCGAACGCCTTCGACATGGTCAAGTCGCCGTTTCAAATGGGCCTCCTCGAAGCTATCGCACCAAGTTTCGGTGGCAGCATGCCAGATTCAGAGGCCCAGAACGGCAACTAGCGTGGCTCCCCCCATCAGAAGTTCAGAACAATCCCACAGATTTCTTTCCCAACGACCAACAACTGCGTGGCGAATATCCACGACCATGCCGTAGGCACTGAATGGAGCGTCCTCAAGTCCCTGTGAATTCTCTGTGTTCAAAACCCGCAACCGTGCCTGCACGGCTTGGGCGTGTTAAAATGCTCGTATGTTGTCTGGGAGGCTTTGTAGAATTTTAAAAGACCCCCTCCTTGCCGCGCGCACCCCTCGAAAACCGCCCCATCTGGTATCGTTGTCTGGCGGTCTTTTCGGCCTCCAAACGGCCAAGATGGCCTCCGAGACGGCTTACAAGACAGCCGATACGACGACACAGTGGCTCAATATTGCCCAAGACAGCTCAACATCCTGTTAAGACAGCCTCGCGACGGCCCAAACGGTCCCCAAGAAGGCCTCAAAACGGCCCAAAAGGCCCCCTGGACGGCCCCCAAAAGCCCCAAAGGGCGAAAGCCCGAGCGGGCCAACTCCATTGATTTCCGCATGTTGAAAGATTTTGAAATCCTCGCTTGTTCGGGTTTCCGACCGCCGAAGACGGCCCACGAAGCCTCCAGTAGGCCTCCAATACTTGCCAGGTACTAATTGTTTTGACCATCGGCGGAGAATTCCATAGCTGGTCCCGCGTGCCGCGGACGACCGATTCGGACGCAAAGGTGCCCTGATGTGGAGTCGCGAGCCTTCATGAACTCTCTGGGATGGCTGGCCAGCGAATCAAGAGCGACAGCCTTGGATAGGGATTCCCAGTGCCACGCCGCTTCAAAACGAGAACGAATACAATGGAGCACCGACGATGACGAAAATGACACTGCCAATCTCAAGCGACCCATGCGGAGTGATTGAGCTGTGAGGGGGTCCAAAGGGGAATGGTTTCCGGGCCTATTCTGTATGGGACGGAATAATGATCACACCGTTATATTCATTTAGTTGTATGTATATACACATGCATGTGTATATGTATATGTATGTATGTATGTCTCTCTCTCTCTCTCTATATATATATATATATATATATATATATATACATATTGTTACGGGGTACGAGTCCAGCGGATTCGGACCGCTCCCTGACCAAAAATATGTCGCTAAGATTATACGGGGGGGTCGGGGTGTCCAAAGCGTGAAGTCTCATGGTCAAAACTATAGTACCCACGTGCATAGCTCCACGACAGCCCAAGAGGCCCCCAAGAGGACCCCAAGTCGGCCCAAGAGGGCCCACTGATCGCCCAAGGGGCACCCAAAGAGGGCCCCAAGACGGCCTTAAAACGCTCCACGAGAGCAATTTGACGGCCCATAGAGGCCTCTTGGGCTGTCTTGGACGGTCGGACACCCAAACATGCCAAAACCTCAAAATCCGTCAAACGCCTAAGGACAATCAATGGTTTCGGCCTCCCCGGGCTCTCCGGGCTCTCCTGGATAGCCTCTTGGAAACCTCTTGGGCCGTGTTGGGGGCTTCTTGATGTGTCTTGAGGCCTTATTGGGAGCCTCATAGCCTCCAGGACGGCTTTCAAGGCAGCCAAGGTGACGCCAAGATGGCCCAAGACAGCCTAAGAGGCTCCCCAAACAGCCTCAAGGCAGATCATAAAGCCCTCCAAACGGCCCAAGAGATTTCCAAGAAGTCCTCCTGGAGAGCCCGAGGAAGCCAAAACCACGTATTGTCCTTAGGTGTGTGAGAGGTTCTGAAGTTCTCACCTGTTCGGGTTTCCGACCGCCCAAGGCGGCCCACAAAGCCTCCAAGAGGCAGGCCTCCAAGATAGCGCCAAGGCAGCCCAACATGCCCCCAAGAAGGCCCGAAGTCGACCCAAGAGGACCCAAAGATCGCCCAAGGGGCTCCCCAAAGGGCCCCAAGACGGCCGTCAACCGCCCCCAGAGGGCACCAACGCAACCAAGAGAGGCCCCAACGAGGCCTCCATAGGCGTCAGACGAGGCAGGGGTCCCCTAAGACGGCCCAGACAGCCCCAAGGGGCCCCCAAAAGGCCCCACGAGGCCTCCAAGGAGCTTTCAGGAAACTCACAGGAAGCCCCCCAAGAAGCCCCAAGAAGCCTTTTCCTCCTCCTCCTCCTCCTTTTTTGGTTTGCTTTCTTTCTTTCAACCGCGTATCGCGTCTGCCTGGCGCTGGTTTCTCTCGGCAGACTGGGACAAACTGATTTTGAAACAGATATGGTCCCCGCCCGAAGGTCTGCCAGCGACTCAGCGAGTCCCGACGCCTGCCGTGGCAGGGTTGACGGGATTGTCACTGGACGCCCGTCGGGGGCGCGCTCTCTTGACAGGCACCCCAAGCCCGAAGGACGCGGACGCCGCTGGACAGGGCACGAGAGAGGGGGGGGAGGGCATTTCAGGCCCATGCGCAGAGGCGGTCGCGTGATACCTTCCTGCCGCCGCCCGGCGGGGCGGGGAAGCCTCCCATCGCCGCTTTGCCCAGAGAAGCTTCCGGAATGGGTGGTCCTTGCCGGCTTGGCGGGCTTGCACGAGGGACCGCCAAGCCCCGCCCGCCCGCGACGCGCCCGCGTCTCGCCCGCGACCCGACCGCAGCCCGCACCGCGGCCCTGGCCCCCAGGCCCCAGGCCCGGGGGCCGGCCGACCAGAGCGGCCGAGGCCGGTGACCTGAAGGAAGCTTGAATCACTGGCGCGCCGCGCCCCCAACACGCACCCCCGGCCCCCCCCTGGCGTCGGGGCCGCCGATGTGGGTGGCCGCGCATGCCCCCCGCGTGAGCTCCGCACTTTCCCTCACGCAAGCCCCCCACCGGGTCCCTTCGGCCCTCGGGTGCCCGCGTCACCTCCTGGGCCCGGCCGCAAGCCGCGCCGCTACGGTCACCCCCATCAAGACGTCGGCGTCCTGCGCGCAGCGCCGCGCAAGCTCCGCAGCGCTGGGGCATTGGGGGAGGTGCCTGACATCCAGCTGGGCGCCGCCGCACCACGGGCAGGCGGCCTCCGTCGCCTTGCACTTGCTGAAGGTGAAGCGGCCCTAAGGACGCCACTGCGCCCAAGGCCGGACAGCACGACAGGCCAAGCGGAACTCCGCCGCATCAATGACGACCCGCTGCCCTCTGTCCGTGTCGGGCGCGCTCAGCGGACACCCAGAGGTCCTCTCGCCGCTGCAGCTGCGGGTGAACCTCCTCCACGAGGTGGCGCCGCATCAGCCTCTGGCGGGCCCGCTGGCCGAGCGCCTCGGGAGGCGCTGCCGCCGACTCCTC